ATTAATTTAGTTATATATAATTATATATATATAAAGTCGTTTATCTTTTTAAGAAATGAAAGAGAAGGTTTACCTGGGGCTCCATCTTTGTCAAAACCACATAGACCGTGAGGTAGATGATCAGTCAAAATTTGAGGAGGATCCCATTCGGTTAACTTTTCAACTTCCCATTGTTTTCGCCACTCTACAGACTAAAAAATTATTTAACTTTTTAATTCAAAAGTAGATATACTATATACAGTTAAATATAAAAACTACATAGACGTAAAAATGCTTTGTTTTATAGTTGCACTTGTAAGCGTTCATCGTTATGATTAGAGCACTCAGATTAGTATTTAAAACTTGTTTTATATTTCAGACATTCAATAGGAAGACACCTATGAGCTCACGTCAAAATTTAAGTTGTACAACATTTACTTCGAAAACAAACATCCGGATTGAAAACGTTACAACAGGAATTATTGAAGTACAAAAATACTCCGGAAACAATGCTTACTACGTATTTTGATACATCGTTATAGCAAATTAGAAGTAATAGAATTAATATTATAGAATCAAAAGATTCAACGAATAATAATTGTAATTTCAGAAAAATAATCAGTTTAAGATCGGAAAAATTTTCCAAAGATGATAATCAAGCATAGAGTTGAGAAATTTGATTTCAAGTTTGTCGTAAGAAGAGAAAGGGAAATATAGCTATAACTAACACATTACAATATCCAGAATTCTACTCAAGCGAATATCTAAAACGTTTCATATTTGTGAATGTTGCTAATTGTAGAAATCGATAATGTCATGATGCGGGTAGTATTACACTATCGTATCGAGTATCAAGTTCCTTATTTTGCAAGTTGCAGTTGCAAATAAAAAATTGCAATCACACCTCCGCATATATCTTAAGTATATTAAATGAAGCCTGTTCTTTCCTATGGTTTGCCTAAAAATTTAATTCGCAATGAAATACACACATGAGAAAAAATGAAAAGAAAGAAAAGTAGGTTAAACAACATAGAAGTATAAAATATTGCAGCTGTTTGCGTCGCAAACAGTTCATTCTGCTCTCTCTTTACTTGGCAGCTTAGAGTGGAAATTGAACTTACTGCCTCTTCTTAGGTTCAAACAAATGTTCCTTTCACATACGTAATTACACTTGTGTTTTAAAAATAGTATAGATACAATGTAAAAAAGATTAATCAAAGCTACTTTCAATTAAAAATTAATGAATTTCTCTTTATTATCAATAACATTTAGGAAATAACAACGGGACACAGAATCTTAATGTTTCTATTAGCCTTTCTTGTATATTTTACGATAAAAAAGTTATAGTGATTTTTAGTTATTCGTAATAACTAAATTTATTTAGTTATCACGTAATTTAAAGTTATAACAAATAAATTTATAAGACTTAAAAAAAAAAGTTGCTCATATATCTAGCTCAGTTAGGAAATGTAATTTGGAAGCCAAAACCATCTTTGTAAAGCATCTGAAACGGTGAAAGATATATAACGTATGAAAAAATTACACTTTTTTGAGCTACTGATCAGTCGAGCATACAGAGCACATCTCCGTATTCGTAATTAATACTTTACAGGCCATCCATAAGACAGCGAAATTTCAAAGGATCGTGAAACACGTTTCTTGAGACTTTCTCGGTTAAATTCGCCGCTATTGGAATTGCGAAGTAATAACCGCGAAAGGTGGATACTTGATCCATAGAATAATCAACGTTACGAATGGGTAACTTATCTGCAATTATATCCAAAGCCGTGGATCTCCAGATGAGACAATAGCGAGAAAAACGTGCCAATTTCAAAATAATTTTAGTAAGTTCATGATATATTCAAATTTTAGTAATTTAAAGTTAGAAATGTGTTAAGGTTTATTAGAATAGATAGAAGATAACGACGACGGGTCTGAAGAATGGGAAAAATTAATTAAACGAGGTTTGATCATTTTTCCGGTTTAAATGTTTAACCAAGTGGATTTTTTCGTTGTATAAGATGAAAGGCATAAGGAATATGTGAAAGTACAGCACAAGTTCCAACGAAGTTGTGTCCCCCTTTCAAAAGGATTTTCTTTAAAACAAAGATGATTATTTGGCCAGTAATTATATTAAAATCTACTTACATCGCGCAGCATCTTCTCCGCTGCAACTGAGTCCCATTTTCTTGCTGAAAATCACATATTTTTAATTTCAATTTAATAAGTACATAAAATACGTTTAGAATATTCTTCTTAAATCCTTAGGCTTTAAGAGCTTATATTTACGCAGCATAAAAAGTTAATAATATTTGACTAAATGTGTGTTTATCTTCCGATATTACTTTCCTGGTTCCGTTGCGCAGAATTTCTGAGAATTCCGCTAGAATTTTATTTTTCCGGTATTGAATTTTTACTCGATATCCTGATCGAAGTATATTACATTCAAGTATTATTTCACCTCTGCCAGTTTCAAAGACATTTCTTTTATTTTCCCAACTGTTTCGTGATCAATATAGACTAAGAAACCTTATACTTTATATAACCATCTTTTTACACATATTCCGTCAGAGTTATTATTAATTCTCGACTGCATAGTAAATGGTAGGCCGTTTTTGCCAGGTGTATTCTTTTTCTACAAATTCTCTTTCAAGAAGACAGTTTACGTAAACATTTATCGAATTACGATTCATTCGTATAAAAGTTTTAAGACAAAGCCTTATAATTTATTATTGACTTATTAATTTTATTATTGTATAATTTAGGATAAATTTTCTCCTACGATGTTCATGTCGTTAACTTTGAATTGTCAATTGAATGAAACTGCTACAGTGAAGCACTAGAAGCTATCTTGAAAGGAATAATCGTCAGGAAACCACGTTGAACACAATGAAGTGAATAGATATGAAGATCCAAGCGTGGTTAGTTGTGAATACTAGGCTGATAGGTTTTCTTCAGGGTTTATACAGGGTATACGCATTTAACACATACAATATTGAGAAACTACGTAAATGGTTACAATAAATTACAGAAACTCATACCTCTGAGCCAACGTAGTAGAAAGTTATCGTCATGATGCGGTTGCTTCAGAATATCTTGAACTGCCCGCCTAAACTGAAACCAGAAGTTCGTATAAATTAGTCGATTACATAAGATCTAGTGGCCTTTTACTTTAAAATTTTTGCATCATGTATAGTGCTGTCCCACATGATTTTCAGCCTTTCACGATAATATCATATAGTTAAAGTTTCTAATTAAACTTATTTTGTAGTACTCCTTGTTCACTGCAAGTTTCCTAAATGATGTGAATTCTGAGGAAAAAAGATTTCACTCGTGTGAAATTCTACGGGATATCTCCAAAGTTCTGGAAATTTTAGAAAATATGCATTGGAATTATAACGAAATCAACGAGAATATGATGACGATTTGAAATTTTTAGATAATAATGTATAACAAAGATGGAATTGCATAGTGTTAGCAGTTTGGAAAGCACGGTATATAAATTAGAGTAAAGAACTATAGGAACCATGCTATACCAACATGTTACGGAATAATGTTACGCTGTACTATAGTTACACGATATAGTAAAAAGACGAAAAATGAATTATGTGCGCCTGTTATATTTACCTGCTGATACAATGTTAGGTATATTGCAGATTTATCATATCATACTTTTATTTACAATTCGCAGTGAAACTAAACCATTTTACTGGAAAGTTAGCCAATGATTTTTTTACGTCCAACATAAAAATTCCTGACCATTTTCTTTCACACAATTTACAAAACTACCCGTGTTTACTTTCACGCAGGTTTTTCAACGGGTCAATCCAATCCGGTTACTCGTAACCGAAATACCGGTCAATGATACGACGACATATATCAAACCTGTGATCAAGACTGTAATTTTATTTTTCATTTCATCTTTTAAAATTTTACACTCTAAATTTCCTAAAATTCCATTTGATAAAATGCCTGGTTTCAATGGTTTACCAACTACAATGAAAATTAAAATTCTATCGTGACCTTTCTTTCTCGAAACCACTGAATATATCATTGCCTCACTTTAATATACATACATTACAGAAATTCTAGTATTAAAAGTCTATCGATACAATAGCGTCGCAATATCTTGAATATAATTAAAACGTAAACGTATTATTTCCTCGTTAATAATAATAGGTGGATGAGAGAAATAAAAAATGGAAAGGTGAAAAGATCACGAAAGGTGAAATGATTAACTCTACGTGAATTATACATCTTTTTTCTGAATAGTCGTTTGATATGATAAAGTTCTTTGTTTCTTCTATAATCTGAATATCACTCAGTCACACTGTTTATGATTATTGCAATTACCAGAGTTTCTATACGAAACGTTTGTACAAAATCAATGGACGAAATAATTCAATTCTGTGTGATAGTCTAAATGGATCAACGATTGAAAGTTCTCCATAACATAAATGAAATCCTTAATGTTTGATACTTTAGTAACCCCCGTGAAAGAAATTAACATAGGATAACATGGAATAGAAAATAATATCGAGATTTCTTACGAAGAAAAAAAAATATAAAAATAATTGAATAAATTTAGTGTCAATAACGGTAATAATGTACCACAAAAAAAGAATACAAACGATTTGTTATCTACCAATAATTAATTTACAGCTAGAATCACTATAATTAATATCATTTATTAGCGCATTAATATCAGTTATCGTTTTCTTGTTACAAATTTTTTAATCAAATTTTTTAGTCAAGGTATAATGTATGAAATTATCATAGTCCGATCGATTGGCAAAGCGTATCTGATGAGCATACCATATTGCATTATATTTTCGTGTATTGTACAATTAAGGAAATTAATAGAACCGATTTACACATATAGAATCATACGTAAACGAGTAAATGGACAGATAAGGAACTATTTTATATGTGTACTATCTAATCTTAAACAGTGTCACGTTGCAAGATCACAGGTGAGTTTGTATGTGAAGTGGCAGGGTAAAGAAAGTGCCGTTTTACCCAGGGAGATCGTTTCCTCTTGGTCAGTGTGGAGTCGAGTATGAAACATTATATACACAAGTAAATAAAGGTATAGAAAGGATTATCTTTCACGAGGAAAGCATCTAGAGTTATTTAAAGTGCGGATAGATTTAGCGACTCTCAAAAAAGAAATCGTCAAACACTGATGGGAGCGGTGTATACATAGTCTCTGTTCGGTGATAAAGTGGTTTTCATTGGGTGAAATCCATCGGATAATGACACGTTTTCGAGCAACGAAAGTGGTGATAAAAAACATGTTTATTGCCGACAGCAATGGAATGAAAGTTTTGAAGGGATAGGAAACAGCAGACCGAAGCGTAGGCTGTGATAATGTTTCACTAGTCGAATATATTGGTGTGAATGGTAACCAAGGGTTGTCATTACACCGAAATGATCGAAGAAGAAAAATGATAATTATGTTATGAAGATAGAATAAAAGGATGAAAGAATACGCTATGATATGAAAAATATCTTTGAACTTTCTTATAAAAATGACGACGTCAAATGGAAATCTGTGTATTTGTAGAATATCAAGGACAGAATTGTCCATTATTCTGAACGTTTTTTGCATATTTAATGATGCTAGTTGTTTACTCACATATTTGCACATGTAATGATTGATTTCTTTCCTTATTCTTTTTGATTCTTTTTGTATTTGTAGAGATACGAACACTTTGCTGTGAAAACTATGTAGCGTCCCATAAGTTTACATTCTTTATTCGATTTACTTGTACACCAATCTTAATTCATACTCGTCTGTTTATTTTGTCTTAAAACTTGTATTTGGCACTAGTTGTATTTGAAATGACCTTCGTAAGCCTCGAGCGTTGTAGTTCTTATGATTTGAGTCACGATGAAAAAGTGTTATGCTTTTTCTAGGTTTAATCTTCATTTTATCCTTGTACATAAGGAGTTGCTATAGAAAATATTCGCTATTATTTAACTAAATCATCCATTTAATAGACTGTAATTATTTCTTTTTATGAAACTGCCGTATAATTTTTATTACCATTGCAACTGTATAAACGATTGGAAATAACCAATCGTTTCCTTCGGTAATTTTATTACTTACCGATGGTACATCATTAACGATACTAACGTTTTTTAAAGGTGAGACATCTAATAAAAGTATTACTACGCTAATTGTGCTATAATATAGCAAACGCGAACCATGCTTCCTTGATTACTTCAACCAATATGTCTAATGCATTTCATCGATCTAATCAATTTCGTCGCGTATCTAAGTAAATACTAAATAGTTAATTATAGAATTTAAATATGTATGTATAAAAGAATTTATAGAAAATACATCTGGCAATAAACATCCTGACCATATTTCAAATGTGACAAATTCACAAACCGGGAATGACGAGTAATTTGTCATTCGATAACGCTTATCCAGCACTTTTAAAAAGTATATTACGAACTAACTCGGAGTATATTACGATAAACTCAATACATAATTTGAAGAATAAAGGAAAAAAATAGGAAATACTCAATTAGCGATTTTAGATGTACAGTTTGATAATAGCAGTTTGAAATGCAGCAGTTAGAATTACACGCTTCCTTCTCTGAAGTCCTAAATAAAAGTGGATATTTAAGTTACGAATAATACAATTAAATTCATTAAATCTTATTTCTTTATTGATGGACTCTGAAGTATGAAAAATTGATTTTGTCTATAAAATGTATGACATTCCTTGTTTTTTTTTTTAACTGTTCACTTGTTTTCTTATTGTCCCCATGATAGCACGATATCGACTAATATTTCCATTCATATAGATCATACTATTCAATAAAATCAATTTTAATTTAACTTATTGACTTATTTATCGAGAAATATTTATCTCAGAATTTTCTTTTTCTTCCTTAATAATCTGATAAGATATAAATTACGATAATTTATATTTGTTGTGGGTATAGCGAAATAAGTCACCTCTAAAAGTTTGCTGTATATCATGCAGAGTGCGCTTTGGATGATTGGACCCTCTAGTTAAAAGGTTAATAACAAAGAAATAATACCTGCGCTATATTTCTAGCATTTTGCTCTGTTCTAGCGTCTACTCACTATAGTACAGTAACAAATAATGTTAATACGACATTTATCAAATACGTTTCTAATATTTTTTCCGGAATGGAGCATCAATGATCCTGACCCTGTGATGCGTGTTCTATGGAATCGAACCGTTGACTTACTTTCATCAATGCGAGTCGTTGGTTATCCTCCAATCCCACTACTTTCAACATCCTCGTCTCCTCTCTATACGTCTTTTGGTGATTCTCAACTCTCGTTGAATGTCTGCTTTCCTCTCTACTGTTTCACGTGTAATGTATTTCTGTCCCTTGTTATCCTTGACAGTCGTTTCTTTCTTTTGTTTCTGCTTTAATCTACCAAATATAGGGAATTTGTACTACGTGTCGTCATAAAAGATTTTATCTTCCGCTGATTTTTAATTCCTGC